ACCTCCAAAGTGCTGGATATTTTACAACTTTCATACCAATAATTCTCTGTCCTCCTCTCCTTCCTGTTGGTCCTTTCCCCCTTTCCAAATAGGTCTCCTCCTACTTTCATGTCTACTTTAAAATCTTTTATTTATTATTTTTAATTATGTGTATGTGTGTTTGTGTGTAGGGGTGTGTGCACATGAGGTGCCCACGGAGGCCAGAAGAAGGTGTTGGATTCCCTGGAGCTGGAGGTCCAGGTGGTTGTGAGCCACTGGAAGTGCGTGCTGGGACCCTAACTTTGGTTCTCTGTAAGAGTAGCAAGTGCTCTTACTGCTGAGTCATCTGTCCAGCCCCATGTCAACTTTAATTTAAATTTAAAAAATAAGAGAATTTTGTGATGAGTAATGTATTTACATCATTTTGTCTCACCCTCCCAAGTCCTCCCATGTACCCACCTCTCAAGTTCATGACCTCTTCTATAATTATTATTGTTACACATATGTACAAATTTCTATAATAAATACATACAACTTACAGAGCCCATTTAGTGTTTCTCTCATGTGCATGTGTTCAGGGCTGACCTCTTGGGGTTGGATAACCTATCAAGCACTTGTCCTTAGAGAAGACTGATTCTCCCTCTCTCAGCGGCCATTGACTGCCTGTAGCTCTTCACCTAGGGGTAGGGCCTTGTGAAATTTCTCCTATCTGGTTGGCATGTCAACTGGTATTGTCACTATGCAGGTCTTGTTTAGGCAACCATATTGTTGAGATTTCATGGGTGCAGCTTCCCTATAAGGTCTAGAAAACACTGTCTAGCAACAAGCATTCTGGTCCTTTGGCTCTTACAGTCTTTCTGCCCTATCTTCCTCTGTATTCCCTGAGCTTAGGTGTAGAGGTTGGGCTGTAGATCCCATGTCTACCAGAAAATCTATATTTAGCTGGATATTGTGTCACAAGTCTTTGATCCCAGAACTTGGGAGGCTGAGGCAGGAGGACCTCTGTGAACTCAAGGCCAGCTTGGTGTACATACAGAGCTCCATGCCAGTCAAAGAGACATAGTGAGACTGTGTCAATGAAAACAACTCTGCTTCACATTTGAGAGAAAACTTGTGATGTTTGTCTTTCTCAATATGTGACATAACATGATGATCTCCAGGCTTATCCATTATCCTGCAAATGATGTAATTTCATTTTTCTTCATGACTGGATAAAAGTCTTTTGCTATTTTCCCTGTTCACCCATTAATGAACATCTAGGCTGGTAGGAGAATGTGGCTATTATTAATTATGACTCATTTCCCAGGTGTGGCAGTTGACATTTGTAATTCTGGGATTTGAGAAGGTTAGGCAGGAGGACTGACAGGAGATTGAGGTCAGCTTGGGCTACACAGTGAGTTTTAAGTCAGCCTGGGTTACAGGGTAAGATCCTGTCACAAATAGACAAACAAACAAACATTATACTGAAATAAACATGAGTGTTAAAGTGTCTGTGTTGTATGCTGGATTAGATTGTTTCAGGTATACAAAGTGGCTGTATCAATCCCATTATGGGCAAAACTCATTAATGGATATAAAACTTAGTGGATAAAAGTTTGATGATGAACAGGATAGTCATATAGTCTCAATGTACTCTTTACAACGTACTTTTTCTGCACATACCCCTCCTTTCTCCCCAAATTTCTTTCTTTAAAAATATTTTATTATTATTATTATTATTATTATTATTATTATTATTTTGTCTTTTGAGACAGGGTCTCCCTGTAGCCCCAGCTGGCCTGGAACTCACTCACAAAGATCTGCCTGCCTCTGCCTCCCAAGTGCTGGGATTAAAAGTGTGCGCCACCACGCCCGGTTATTTATTATTATTTTTATTTTATGTGTATTAGCGTATTGCCTGCATGCATGTAACTGTATCTGTGTTGTGCAGTGCTCCTGGAGGACAGAAGAGGGCACTGGATCCCCTGGAACTAAAGTTACAGATGGCTGTTAGCTGCCATGGGGGTGCTGGAAATCTCTGCAAGAGCAGTCAGTGCTCTTAAGTGCTGAGCCATCTCTCCAGCCCCACAAGTTTCCTTTTAATTACAAAGGGAAAACAGCATTGTAGATTCCTGGAGTGCAGTACTTTGACAAAATGATTAAAATTCACACAATCGATAATGGAACAATCTAAGATCATATGTGTTCTTATGGGAAGCCCTAAAAAGGAAGGCTTAGTTCGTACATTTCTGTAATTGCAACACTGAGGAAACTAAGGCAGAAAAAATACAAATTTCAGGCCAGTCTCAGACACATAGTGGGTTCTAGACAGTCTGGGTTAGACAGGGAGACCCTGTTTCACAAACATGCTTTATGAAGGCACACTAGTTACATAGTATAGTATTCATGTCAGAGGTGCATAAACTGGGTTGGGTATGGTGGTGTACCCTTTTAGTCCCAGCACTTGCAAGGCAGAGGCAGGCAGATCTCTGTGAGTTCAAGGCCAGCCTGATCTACATAGTGAGTTCCAGGCCAGCTGGGGCTATAGGAAGACCCTGTCTCAAAAAAGACCAAAAAAAAGTGCATAAACTGAATTGAATTACAAGGTATCATGAAACACAACTTGAAACAACTTTTTCAAAACAACGGTCAATACTTTTCAAAAGACAATTTTTTCAAAATAATGGTTAATAATTTTCAAAAATATTACCCAGTGCAGACACATGGAGTCATAAGCATCCTTACCAGTACTAAAATTTATAATTGCCTAATCCTAATCTTGACCTGAACTTGACCAAGATCACTTCAAAATTCTGCACTACTGGGCGTGGTGGCACATGCCTTTAACCCCAGCACTCAGGAGGCAGAGCAGGCAGAGCAGTTCAAGGCCAGCCTGGTCTATATAGTGAGTTCCAGGGCTACATAATGAGATCATGTCTCAAAACAAAACCAATAATTCTTCATTACACTTTTTTCATTTATAAAACTGAGACTGCAAAGCTTACCTGTGGTGAGGGAACAAAAAGATTATATGTCACTAAGCACAAAGAAAGGCTGGAAAACTAGTCTATTTTTAAAAGTCTAAAAATATATGATAACTAAGTTTAATGTTGGAATTTGGACTACTCTGAATAAAGACCTTGGAACAACTGGAGAATTGAAATATGAGCTGTATTGTATTAGTTTTTCTGAATTTTATAACTATACCATGGTCATATAATAGCAAATCCTACACTCAAGAGATGAATGACAAAGTATCAATAGATACATGATAGAAGCCAGTTATGTGCAAATGGTCTCTGAAAAAAAAAACCCAAATCTCCAAACACGAGAGAGAGAGAGAGAGAGAGAAAAAAAACAAACCCGGCCCCTCTAATATTTTATTATGAACTATCCAAAAATGGAGAAAGATTGAAGCAATTATAATGTAACATTCACCTAAAAAGTTCAACAATGTTTTAACTTGCTATTTTATTTTAATTTTTTGAGATGGTCTCATGTAGCACAGGCTGGCTATTACTTTGCTCCATAGTGAACTTCTGATCCTCCTGACTTCACCTCTCAAGTGTTGTTAGGTGCTTTACCAGAGAACACCACTCAGACAAAGTTTTGCTGAATGAAAGTCATTGCTGGCCAGGGCTACTACACAAGGGTGTCAGAACCCGTGTGTAGGCCTGAGCCATCTCTAGGGTAAGCTTTTTTTTTTTTTTTTTGAAGGGTAAGCTTTTATATAGAGAAACCATAACAAGGGGTGAAAAGTTTAAGTTTCCAAGCTTACAGGTGGAAAGCCCCCTTAACAATTTCTGTTCTGTTAAGCAACAATTACCTTTTTGTCGAAGCAAGCCAAGCATAACCTACAGAAGCCATAAATCTGTAGTTAGCAGGTGCTCTCCAGGACACTCTGTTCCTAAGACAACCAGAGTCCAGCTGACATGTGTTCCCATACCCTGGGCCAACTGCCTATAATTTCAGAGATCAAGAGTCAGCCTAAACTTTAACATGACGTAGCTATGGTCAAGAAGGTGCCCTATTACACAAGTGCTGGGATTACAGGCATGTGCTACCACACTAATAGTTTATTAAATTTTCTTTCCTTTTTGTGTTTTTGAGTCAGGGTCTTGGTATGTAGCCCGTTGGTCTTGGACCCAAGGGCCATCCTCTAACCTCTCAAGTGTGTGATTCAAACTTCAAGGGCACTGACACTTTTGTTTTTTGAGACCCTGTCTCAAAAATTTTTTAAAAATTATGTGCATATGTGTGTCTGTGTATGGGTGTGTGCATTGTGAGTGCAGGTGCTCCGAGTTCAGAAGCGTGTGTTGGAGCCTCTGGAGATGGGAGGTGTGAGCTGCTGAAAGTGGCTGAGAACCCACCTGGTCCTCTGTAAGATCACTAAGTGCTTTTAACTCCCTGAGTTATCTCTCCAACCCCTTTTGTTAGTTTTTGAGACAGGATTTCAGTATGCGGTGGCTTGGGATTCCTTTGCTGTTAACCTGAGTGCTGGGATTAGAAACTATGCTACCACACCTGGCTCCAAGAATGTAACCTCCTTCTGGGTAAAGGGCCAGGTACATAGCCCGCCTCCCCAATGCTAGATATGCACTCTGCCACTGGGCTGTATACCCACCCCGTGGAGTGCTTTTTTACTATTCTTGTAGGTTTTCTCTAAATTTGTTATTTATGATATTAAAAGTTAAACCAATTAGTATGGGTAAACGACAGGAGACAGAAAATGGAGGGACATTAGTTTGCAGTGAGACACCAAACTCAACCCTCTGAAATTTCAAGACCATCTGGAAGCTGGTGCGTTAGGCGATGAAGACTAAGGTTAGTGTCCCAGCTGCCCTCTGTAGAGCCCTAAAACTTTGGTTTAAGGAATTATCTCATTCTTTAGTAAGTACTCTCCCATGGCCCTTGTGAAGCTTGAAACTACATTTCCCAAAGGCCGTTCTCTTTCCTCACGGTAAAGATCACAATTTCTATACGCTTTTTTTTTTTTTTAAAAAAAAGCCAAATCTCGCGAGATATCGTCGAATCTCATTCCGGATTCCAGCTGAAAGCCATTTTGTTTTTCAGGAGGCTGCAAGGGTGTCCTCTGTGCGCTTGCACAGACGCAGCAGCTAGAATTGGCGCGGTTCTGTCTTCATCGCTACGATGTTTCCCTTGGCTAAAACCGCACTAAGTCGTCTCCAAGGTGAGCAGAGGCGGTGGGCGCGTCCTTTGCAGCAGCCGGGGACCTGTTTGTCCTCGTGTTCTCTCCTACCCTTTCCTCCACCAGTGTCCTGCACTTTCAATTCTAAGTGCCCTGCCTCCGGCGTCTTCCCGTCATTGGGAAGGGAAGATAGTCTTAACTGCAGCTTTATCTCCCTGTAGTTTTGTTTCGTTCCCAGCTCTCCTACTAACGGAGTCCTAGCCTAGCATTTCAGTTCCTCAGGGACCCAGGATTTCATGGAAGAACGCTTGGCGGACACCTCGCACCTTAAGACATGTTCGGAATTTTAGCTTTGGGAGTGTGTCTACTTCTTATTCACATAGAGGAACCTAGTGATAGAGGAACGGTGGTAGGAAATTGTAAATCTTCCTCGTCTGGACTCATCCTAAGGAGAAAAATAAGGTAGCTTAGCGGCCTTTGTACGTTAGCTGTTAGCTGTCCTAAACCAATCGCGGTCATTTTGCCTATCTAAAAGGTAAGTACGCGGAAATTTAAGACTAGTTTTATGGATGGAGAACGCCTTGAAATGGAGAAAAAAAAATCCGTTTTCCTAATTGCCTTCCCTTGAAGGTGACCTTGAGTAACCTGAATGGAGATGACCTTACACAACTACCTTTAGTTTCTCCTGCCGTGTTTTTATTTTTATTTTATCGAGATTAGGAATATTACTAGATTGTGTTCTAAACACGGAAGGACTGGAAATAATTAAAAAAAATAGAAGCTCTACTGATTATTCATATGCCACAGCCAGTGTTTATTTCTTTCACCTTGGGTAAATGATTTAACTTTTCTGAACTTGTTTTCTTTCTTTTTTTTTTTTTGTAAAATAAGGGGTTAGTAAATAATACCTATCTCATAGGATTGTTATTGTGTAACATTACCAATGTGTGGTCACTAAACCATTTTGAGGGCGGCACAGAGGAGAGGTCTAAGGAAATCCACTAGAATAATCAGAGTGTTGAAATAAGAATTGTTTCACAATCTGAATTTGTCTTCTTAAGAAAATAGGGACTTTTGTATTATAGGAAAAGGTTTTTCTTTTCCATTAGTTGGCCTCTTCTTTCCTTTCTTAGGCAGGGTTTCACTGTAGCCTGGCTGGCTTGGAACTTACTATGTGGTCCAGGGTGGTCTTGAATTCGAAGATAATCCTGTTCCCAAGTGCTGTGATCACAGACATGTGCCATCATACTCAGATGTTACTTGTCTCTTTTATTGTGTTTCTATTTTTTTGGTGTGGAATTGTCATGCTCAATTTCTAAGTGTTCTAAAGCAGGTTACATTTTGAAATGTTTGTGAATTTACTTATCCTGGGTGTGACTTTCGTGTTTTTTTTTGGGGGGGGGGCAGGGTCTCTTAATAGCCTAGGCTGACCACCAAGTCACTGTGTAGCCAAGGACAAACTTTAATTCCTGATCCTCCTGCCTCTACTTCGCAGGTGCCACAATTACAGGTGTGCAGGACCTCTATAGGTTTAATTTTTTGTGTATGTTTTAGTTTTTTTTCTTTTTCCTCTTTGTAGCACTAGGGATCCAAATACAGGACCTCCTGCGTGTAACACTCTACCAATTGTTCTATGCTTCTCTGGGTGTGGCTAGTTAAAGGTGAAAATGAAAGCTAAGTAAGGCAGCTAAAGAACCCATAATGGTTAGGTAATTATGGCTATACCACATAGGGGCCATTTTAATTTTATTTTGGGGGGTTGCTGGGGATTGAACCCATGACTCTACCACTTAGCTATATTCCAAGCCTGAAATTACTGTGTTTTGTTAGTGAATGGACAACACTTTTTTTTTTAAAGACAGTCTGATTCTCTAGTCCAGACTAGGGTCAAAATCAAATGCAATCTTCTGCCACAGTCTCCTGCAGTGCTTTAAACCAATAAGGACCTGCTACCTAAATTGCAGAGGAAGAAAAAACTACTATAATAGCTTTTTTTTCCAGTATTTACCAGTCCACATCTTTTCTAGTCTTATTTCTTTTTTTTTCCCAGCCTTTTTTGAGACAGGGTCTTCCTGTAGCCCCAGCTGACCTGGAACTCGCTTTGTAGACCAGGCTAGCCTTGAACTCAACAGAGATCCACCTGCCTCTGCCTCCCAAGTGCTGGGATTAAAGGCATGCGCCACCACGCCTGGTGCTCTAGTCTTATTTCTTATTAACCTGCCTATATACCTTGTCTTTCATCCAAACTGGATTTTTCAGTACAGTAGATCAATCTGTGTCTGCCAATTTTGAGTCCCCTTTCCCACATCTATATAAACAAATCCTATCTGCTATTTAATGTGCCTAGTTAATTCTTCTTTCTTGTATTACAGTGATTTATGTTATGTATATAATATCCACTTCCAGACAAGAAATTACCTGATGATAAAGTCAGTATGGCACACATTTTTATATACTTTTTTTTTGAGACAGAGTCTCACGTAGTCCAAACCGACTCCTGCTCCTCCTGCCTCCATCTCCGTATTGCTAGGAATACAAGTTTGCATAATTTATTTTACAATATTGAAGTATTTATTACTAATGGTTTTAAAACCCAGATTAGCCTAGTTTGGGGGTTTTGTAATTTTAATGTCAAATATTTGATGTGTATTAATATGATATTAATTTTGATTCTATTTTCCTTTGTATGTTTTAAGTTATTGAGCATTGTTGGGTAAATTTTAGTGGAAATTGTAGCCATAGATTCAAATTAATGAATAGAATCCAATGAACTGTTACACACAGACACACCCATTTTTGCTTTTCCTCCAACTCTTTTTTTGTTAATGGAGACACAGTCTCGTTATGTACCCTTGGCTAGCTTGGAACTCACTATGTGGACCAGACTGGCCTTGAACTCAGAGAGCCGACTACCTCTGCCTCCTGAGCGCAAATTAAAGGTATATGGCACCATGCCTGGCTTCTTACCACATTTTTACTATGAAAACTTTCAGAAATCCAGTAAATTTGAAAGAACCATATAATGGGCTGGAGTCAGTGGTTAAGAGCACTGACTGCTCTTGCAGAGGACCAGGGTTCGAGTCTCAGCATCCACATGGCAGCTAACAACCATCTGTAACTCCAGTTCCAGGGGATCTCATGCCCTCTTCTATCCTCTGGGGGCACTACACTACATGGTTGCACTTAAACACATGCAGGCATAACACTCATACACATGAAATAAAAAGTTTTTAAAAAAAAGAAACATGGGGGCTGGAGAGATGGCTCAGCGGTTAAGAGCACTGATTGCTTTTGCAGAGGACCTGGGTTCGAGTCCCAGCACCCACATGGCGGCTACAAACCGTCCTTAACTCCAGTTCCAGGGAATCTGAAGCCCTCTTCTGACCTCCACGGCATTGCACGACATGGGTGCACTCACATACATGCAGGCAATACACTCGTACACATAAAAATTATAAATTAAAAAAAAAAAAACATGAGCCGGGTGTGGTGGCACACACCTTTAATCCCAGCACTTGGGAGGCAGAGGCAGGCAGGATCTTTGTGAGGCCAGCCTGGCCTACATAGTGAGTTCCAGGACAGCTGGGGGTATAAGGAGACCCTGTCTCAAAAAAGACAAAAAAAAGGACCATATGAACACCCACCACATAGATTCTATGTGTTAACATTTGTTATATTTGTTTTTAGCATATATCTATCCATGTGTCAGCTTATCTTAATTTTAAATTTAATCAATTTTTGATTATTTTTTTGAGACAGGGTCTCCCCATAGCCCCAGCTGACCTGCAACCTGCCATGTAGACCAGGCTGGTCTTAATATCAGGAATCCCCCTGCCTTTACCTTTCAAGTGCTGGGGTTAAAGGTATGTCCTACCACACCTGGCTATTAATTTTTTGAGCAAGTTCCTCTGTAGTCTCCAATAGCCTGGAATTCATTTCATAGTCCAATGTGGACTTGAACTCATGGTGATTCTACTGCCTAAGCCTCCCAAGTGCTAGGATTAAAGGTGCGAGCCACCAGGCCTGGACATTTATCACATTTTCAATGCTTTTGAAAAAATGATTATTTGTTCTTATGTGCAATGTGGTTAACATTTAATTGAATTGCACAGTACTATGTTAAGTTCACTACCATTGCTCTCCTGATCAGCAGTATCAATCATGTGTTCACTTTTCTTGATAATTGATACTCTTTTCTATTCTTTTTTAGTTCGAAGCATTCTGCAAACAATGGCAAGGCAGAGCCACCAGAAACGGGCACCCGATTTCCATGACAAATATGGTAATGCTATATTAGCAAGTGGAGCCATTTTCTGTATTTCTACATGGACATATGTAAGTACTGTCGATTATTTCTTCTTTGCAGTGCTAGAGATTGAGCCCAGGGTCTCATGCATTCTAGGCAAGTACTCTGCCAGTGAGCTATGCTCCCAGGCTCAAAAATTTTTCATTTGTTAATTTTTTGGTCTCACCAAGTAGCTCTGACTGGCTTGGAACTTGCTATGTAGGCCAGGCTGGCCTCAACAGAGATCTGCCTGCCTCTACCTCCCAAGTGCTGGGATTAAGGGCACGCACCACCATGCCTGGCTCAATACTTTCTAATTTAGGTATTTTTCATTCTCATTTAGTCTGTGTATTTAAAATGTTTTTAACACATTATATGTTTCTAGTTGGAAGGGGTAAGAGATTATGTAGTAATCCACTCAATGTGGGTATTTCTCCCTCAACATTTAGAATTCATCCATCCTATGTTCTTAGCATTTCCAGTAACAAATTGCTGGTTGCATCACAAGGCAGCCCTTTTCTATGTCATATAGCTGTTTGAAGGCTCTTATTTGTGGAGCCCAGGCATGGTGGTGTATGCCTGTAGTCCCAGTCCTCGGGAGGCTCAGGCAGGAGGACTGTAAGTGTAAGGTCAGCATGGACTATGTAGTGAGACCTTGTCTCTAAAACATTTTTTAAAACCTTATATTGAATTAAAATATATTTTCCTTCAAATTTTGTACATCGATTAATTACAGTACAGAAATTCTGGCCTATCACATTTCCATGTGACAGCCATCAGATATTAGAAGATTGCTATCACAGGTCTGTAAAGCATATTTTTTTTGTCCTTTTTGAGACAGGGTCTCCCTGTAGCCCCAGCTGTCCTGGAACTCACTATGTAGACCAGGCTGGCCTTGAACTCACAGAGATCCACCTGCCTCTGCCTCCCAAGTGCTGGGAATACAGGTGTGCACCACCACGCCTGGCTTGTAAAGCATATTTTTAACATGCACAAAACCCTGAGTTCAATCCACAGCACCAAAATAAATAAATAAATGAATAAACAAATAGCTAACATGTATCTTTAGTCTGTTAAGATTATATAACCTTAGGTATGTTGGCCAATTTTTTGTTCTGTAATTTTTGATTTTTCATATTTTGGGTAGCCCTCCTGGATATCCTTTAGTGATGAGATTTCCTTTTAAAATTCTGTAACCACAACTGAGCACAAGCCAGTTTGGTGTTTGGTATACGCCTGTTAACTCTGGCACTTGGGAGGTTGAGACAGGAAGATGGAGAGAGTAAGACCAGCCTGAGTGATATAGCAGTTTCGAGGCCAGCTTAGGCCACAGAGCAGACCCTATCTCAAAAAACAAAACCAAATCCAAAAGTATAATTTTCTTGATAGAGGATATGTAAAGTCATTTGCTTTCCAAATTTTAGACCTTTTATTTTTTGGTCTTTTTGAGACAGGGTCTCCCTGTAGCCCCAGCTGGCCTGGAACTCAGTATGTAGACCAGACTGGCCTCAAACTCACAGAGAACCAACCGTCTCTGCCTCCAGAGTGCTGAGATTAAAGGAGTGTGCCACCATGCCTGGCTCATATTTTAGACTTTTTAGAAAAATATTTGTTATTTTATGTACATAAATGTACAGAAAATAGTGTATTGCCTGTGTGTAGGTAGGTGCACCTGCCTGTGTTGTGCAGTGCCCATAGAGGTCAGAAGAGGGCGAGGGCATCAGATTCCCTGAAACTGGAGTTATAGACTGTTGTTAGCCACCATATTGGTGCTGGGAATCGAACCCAGGTCCTCTGCAAGAGTAGCCAGTGCTCTTAACTGCTGAGCCATCTCTCTAGTCTCTATTTTAGGCTTTTACATCTGTTGCTTATAAACTTATTTGCCAGTTCCTCTGTTTACAGGTTACAAGTAGTAATTTTGAAACTTTAATTAGTATTTGTTGTGTGTAAAAGATATCACATACCTGTAATCCCACCAGTAGGCAGGAAGTTTAAGAGTTGAGGATCATCCTCAGTTACATATCAAGTTTGATGCCAGCCTGGGGTACTTGGAAAGTTTTCTCAAAAACAAAAAAAAGAAAAAAGAAAACCAACAAGAAAAGGAATGAAAGGTACCATTTAACCCTTACCTTAATAAAGAAGCTTTATTTAAATAAGCTACATTATTTTGATTTGATTTTTCTGAAATCAGATATACTATTGATTTTTGGTGCCTGAGGATTGCACCCAGGGTCTTGTATCTAAGTATATACATGGACCTTCACCGATCTGTACCTCAGCCTGAAAGTCAGATATTAAAATATATGTGCACTTAATTAAAAGGACAAACAGGTATTCAAAAATGTATGCTCATCTGGGCTGCTGGAGGGGAAATGCTCCTAGTTGAAGGGCTCTTACAGAGAACTCTCAGGGAGTTATTGAGGCAGTTGTGCTTGAGAGAAGCAATATTTATTAAGGGGGTAATACAGAAATGTAAAATATAAATTTGAATTATGAAAAAATAAAAAATTCATTTTCTCAGCCATACTAGCCACATTGCAAGTGCTCAGCAGCCAGATGTGGCCACCGGCTCCTGTATTGGACAGTGCAGATTTAGAACATTTCTCTCATATCAGGAAGTTCAGATAAGCAGTCTGTTCTGGGGAAGTAGGGCAGCAATTAGTGTAGACCTGCTTGAGAGGCACTCCATCCCAGGTGAGTTGCTCTGTATTTTTAACCTATAGAAGCAGAATGTCTTTGTAGTTTTGAAGAAACAGACTGCAAATGAGAGTGAACTATGGTTTAAAAATGTATAACTGACAGCCCTTTAATTCTTACAGACAGCAACACAAATTGGAATAGAATGGAACCTGTCCCCTGTTGGCAGAGTCACCCCAAAGGAATGGAGAGATCAATAATCATGCCAGCTGGTATAATAATCAATGAGTTGTTTAAAAACCAACGCACAAGTGATGCCAAGTAAAAGAATCATGTATTAAAATTGGCATATTGAAAAAAATAAAGTACCTTTGAAACCTTCATTGTAGGTTTTGTTTCCTTTGTAAATGAAGTGAAGTTTTGATCACTTTTCATTTATTTAACCTATATAATCTCTTAAAATAAATAGCTTTTTTCTTTTTAAATTGTGTATGAGTGTGTTCTCTGTATGTAAGTGCACCTGTGTCGTGCAGTGCCAGCAGCAGTCAGAAGAAGTTAGATCCCCTGAAACTGGAGTTACGGATGGTTGCTAGCCACCATGTGGATGCTGGGAATCAAACCCATGTCCTCTGCAAGAACAGTCAGTGCTCTTAACAACTGAGCCATCTCTCCAGCCCCCAAATAACATTTTTTCTATGAAGTAGTATGAGGGAAATCTGGTTATAATCTGGAAGTCAACTTTACAGTAAGTTGAAATAAATATAGTTGATGGATAACTGATCACAGAGCTGTTTTAGGTCACCATTGAGTCAAGAGTTTGGTCCAGATAGGTTATGCCTAATACTTTCTACCTTGTGTTTATAGTTGATACTGACATTGACTCCTTTCTACTCTTGCTTAGAGATTTTAGGCTGTCAACTAGACCCAAGAGAATAATCCTGTAAATGTGAGCTAGGTTTGCTTAAGACTGGCTCCTTAGCCCTACGGCATATTCACCTTAGAGCATTGCATTCTGAGCATATTAGGGAGGATCTGTCAATACAATTTTATTAGTTATTTAAAGTTATAAAAATGATAGTATGTCAATCATGAATTTAATGTGACAATTTTTGATATTTTACTCATTCCTCTCTGAGTTTTCTATAACTATAAATCAGACCTCTGCTGGTTTTCTATAATTATAAAAATGTTAGCTAACATTTAGGTTTGTGGATTGGCCTGAGTTTAGTATATGGTACTGAACTTCATGTGAAGATGTAAACTAAACTATTTGTATCACATGCTTCATTTATTGGGTAAGAGCTATTGCCTAGTTTGTTTACAGTATTAAGCAAAATGTGGAATTTCAGTCAAATTACATTATTTGTGTTAGCTAAATTTAGAGAATTCTCATAGTCAACATGACAAGTTATATAAGTTGCCTTTTGCAGTCTCCACATTTACCTATGTATGTAGGTAAGGATTTATATCTAAGGAAACATTTGGAATAGAAGTTTTGTGGTGGTGGGAATTGAACCCAGGGCTTTGTGTCTGCTGGACAAGCACTATACCACAGGTACACCACCAGCCAATTTTCTGCTGAGTTACATGGATATACAAAGTTGGTTTCATAGCATTGTGCCTTAGAGTCTCTTAAATGCAACAAAGTCAATGATGTGATTTTAATAGAATTAAATGTTGTTGCAAAACAAGTTCCAAGATTAATAACTCTGTAGTAGTGCTATTTGATATAATTTAAGCTGAGCATGGTGGCGCACACTCAGGAGACAGGAGAATCCCTGCAAGTTCAAGCCATCCTGTTCTCCGTAGCAAGTTCCATGCTAGCCAAAGCTATATCGTGAGACCCTGTCACACACACACAAAAAAATTACAGAAACAGTCCAAAGAGGATGGGCTGCAGTTCAGTATCATCTGAAAGGCCCAGGAGGTAGAATACTGATACACAAGTCTTGATTTTTAATTCCATGTAGCTGGTGTATGTGCAGGGAAAAATTACAAGGAACGATATCATTTTATATTGTTATCTTGGGTGTAGATCTGTTACCCATTAGAGTCCTGTTAATTTTGATAATTATGTATTAGTCTATTTCCAGTTTGACAAATTAAAGATAATCCTAACTTTAGTTAATGAAATCTCTTTTAATTATTGATTCCTTAGTTTTAAATGGCCTATCAGAACCTATGAATTCAATAACTCTTTTTGTCATTGCTATGTCTTCCAAAGTGTTGAAAATATTTTTTGAGCCGGGTGTGGTGATGTACATCTTTAATCCCAGCAGAGGCAGGTGGATCTCTTGAGTTCAAGGCCAGCCTGGTCTACATAGTGTGTTCTAGGTCAGCTGGTGTTACAGGGAGACCCTGTCTCAAAAACTAAAAAAAAAATTTTTTTTTTTAAGTTTTCTTGTTAAACTTAATACTTTATTCATTTTTTTTTTTTGGTCTTTTTGAGGCAGGGTCTCCCTGTAGCTACAGCTGGCCTGGAATTCACAGAGATCTGCCTACTTCTGTCTCCCAAGTGCTGGGACTAAAGGCATGCACCATTCAGCTTACTTTATTGTAAATAGTTACCATTTTGGCTAAAGATGTGCTTTCAACTCAGTTTTATTTTAAAATCTGTAGAAATGTTCAAAATACGACTAAGCCATCTAAGTGAAAATAAGTCTGAAAGGTGATTAAACAATCCTTGGAGAAGTCTTAACCTATTGTTTTGTATACCTTCTGGTCTCAGAACACTTATTTCTGGTGTGAGGTAATGTTCATTATGATTTGTCCTCTTCTGTCATGTGATAGTTGTCAGCTGCGTGTGTGATGATTTAGAATGTTGTTTGTATCTTGTCTGTCAGTAAAAGCTCATGTTTTGTTTTGGGTGGTAGGATTTGAACCCAGTGCCTCATGCTTGCTAGGCAGTTGCTCTACTGAGTTATATCCCCAGCATTTAAGAAGTTAAAAGCAGCCTTTTGTTCTTCAGTGCTGCAGTCATGGAGATCACACCCACGATCTCGCTTAGGCTAAGCAAATGCTCTAGTACTGAGCTGCTGCTTTAGCCAATAGTTAAATTTTAGAAGCTTGCTCAGGTTTGGTAATATAGTTCTGCAGTAGAGCACTTGCCTAGAATGTGTGAGGCTCATGATTTCATACCCAGAACCACAAAACAAAATCCCTTTTGTAGTCCTGGTGAGCAATTACTTATTTACTTTCTGAGATAGGGTCTCACTATGGAACCCTGGCTGGCCGAGAACTTGCTATAGACCAGGCTGGCTTGTGATCCTCTTGTCCATACCCAGCTTATTTTTTTGAGACAGAGACCTTAAGATTATAGATGTGAGCCACCACTCTTGCTTTGATGGGTGAATGCTTTAATTTTTTTTTACATTATTTTGCATGTGTGCATGTGGCGCAGCACCCGTGTGGAGGTCAGAGGACAACTTAGAGGAGTAGGTTCTCTCCTTCCACCTTATAGATCCTGGGGATTGAAGTCCAAGGGTCATCAAGATTGGTAGCAAGCATCCTGTCAGCCATCTTGTCCACCCTTGATGGGTAATTTTAACACTACTGTAACCACTGCTAGAAATGAAGCAGTTCGTTCTCCTCTGCCTCTAGTGGAGTTAGAGCGAAAGGACACAGGCTGAGTGGTTTATAAAAAAAAAAAATGAGGCTGGGTGTGGTGGTGCATGCCTTTATTCCCAGCCCTCCAGAGGGCACTGTAGAGGTAGGTGGGTCTCTGTGAGTTCAGGGCCAGCCTGGTCTACATAGCAAGTTCCAGGTCAGCTGTGGGGCTACAGGGAGATGGAGACCCTGTCTCAACAAAAAAAATGAAGCAGTAGTTATTTCTGCCCCCACAATATTCTAACCTTGGTGCTTTCCTGGTATACTCAGCCAAGCAAGTTCTACCCTTTCATGAAAATCCCGTTTGTCCTCTAGCACATTACTTTGACTTTCACCAATACCTAGAGTTGGAAGGTCACTAAATTAGTTTTCCTATTCTTAGGTGTTTCTATGGCTGAAGACGAGATAAACAACTTGCCTCAGAAGCATTGCTAACCTTATAAAATACTTAGAAGGGCTGTGGAGTATTTTTAAATTGAGGTGAATGCCATAAATCTGAACTTTACTCTGAAATGCAATTGCAATGTATTTTCTGTTATTTCAATTCATTCAGTTTATCTAGAATAAAGTACCAGTACTGAGAGATACAAATGTGTTCTTTTTTTTTATATTTATCATTTTTTATTTTATGTGTATGAGTGTTATGCCTGCATGTATGAAAGTGCACCCATGTGGTCCTGTGCCTGCGGAGGACAGAAGAGGCTGTCAGATCCCCTGGAACTGGAGTTATGGACAGTTGTTAGCTGCCATGTGGGTGCTGGGACTCGAACCTGGGTCTTCTGCAAGAACAGTGCTCTTAACTGCTGAGCCATCTCTCTAGCCCCACAAATGTGTTCTTTTAAATTACTTTTTAAATAATTTTTTCCATTATCAGAACTTGATCAGCATATAGTTAAATTTACGCTTTTTTTTTTTTTTAATTTTGGGGGCTAGAGAGATGGCTTAGTGGTTAAGAGCACTGACTGCTCTTGCAGAGGACCTGGGTTCAATTCCCAGGACATACATAGTTATGAACTATCCTTAACTCCAGTTCCAGGGGAATCTGACACCCTATTCTGACCTCCACGGCATTGCATGACACGGGTGCACTCACATACAGGCAATACACTCATAAAAATAATAAAATTATTTTATTTTTATGTGTATCTGTGTGTGGCTGTGTGCATGTGAGTGCAGGTAGCTTTGTAGGCCAGAAGTCAGAAGCATTGGATCCCCTGGAGCTGGAGTTATGTCGTATGAGTCACCTGACATGGGTTCTGGGATTTGAACTCAGGTTTTCTGTGAAGAGCAGTATCTGCTCTAAACCACTGAGCCATCTCTCCAGTCCATAAATTTACTTTCTATGAATTCATGTGCACCATATTTATGTGAAAGCCAGAAGAGGGCATTGGTTCCCCTGGAACTGGAGTTAATTGTGAACCAGCTGTTGTGGGTCCTGGGAACCAAACCCTGGTCCTCTATAAGAGCAGTAAATGCTCTTAACTGTTGAGCCATCTCTCCAACCCCAGATGTGTTCTTACCTAATGACTATTAACTTCATTGAGGATATATTGATACCATTTTGGAGGCAATCTGGAGACACCTACTATTGTGTGCTGAACTCCCAGCTAACCTGACAGCTCATTTAGCATAGCAGTCATGAAAAGAATGTTAGCATGCTTGTACATGTATGGATGGTGCGATGATTAGAGAAGAAAAACTTTAGTATCTACATAAACCAGAGAGGTAACAGACTTGATATTATGCTTTTAATAAGGCTTGCTTCCTGCCAGGCTTGGTAGTGCTTGCCTTTAATCCCAGCACTCAGAGGCAGAGGCAGGCAGAGATGGAGACCAGTCCATAGTGAGTTCTACATAGTGAGTTCTAGGCCAGCTGTAGCTACAGGAACACCCTGTCTCAAAAAGACCCCCCCACCCCCCAAAAAGCTTCCTGGTTTGTGCCCTCTAGTTTGAAGACAATTTTATTGAAGGAAAAATATACCATGTAGCTAAGGGTACAAGCTATGGCATGGTAGTGAATTTCTTTTAAAGTTTAACACTGGTAATATTGCACGTATTCAACTTGCTAATACTCCAGAATCCACTTAAAATCATTTTTTTTTAATTTTAAAATATTTTTTGGCCAGGCGTGGTGGCACACGCCTTTAATCCCAGCGCTCGGGAGGCAGAGGCAGGAGGATCTCTGTGAGTTTGAGACCAGCCTGATCTACATAGTGAGTTCCAGGCCAGTTGAGGGCTACAGGGAGAGCCTGTCTCAAAAAAAAAAAAAAGACCAAAAAATATTTTTTGTGTGTGCTGGGATTAAAGGCGTGCGCCACCATGCCTGGCCAATTTAAAAATATTTTATTACATTTATTTGTATGTGTATGTGTGTGGGGGTGCATGTCACAGTCAACATGAGATCAGAGGACAACTGTCAGGAGTCATTTCTCTCTCCATCATGTGAATCCCAGGATGGAACTCAAGTTATCAAGCTTGGTGGCAAGCATCTTTACCTGCTGAGCTATCTTGTCAGTCCAGTTTCTATTTTTTTGACTATTGTCTTTGTATGATATGATGTGTATGTATGTGAGAGTCAGAGGACAACTTTGAGGAGTTGGTTCTGTGGTTCTGTCCTTCCCCTATGAGTTCCAGAGACAGAATTCATGGGATTAGGTTTACATGCTGAGTCATTTCACTGGCCGTCTTTTAAAAATTTTATTTATTTAAAAATATTTTATGTGTATAAGTGTTTTGTGTACAGTAAGTGTACCTATGTTGTGTGATGACCGAGGAGGACAGAAGAGGATGTTGGATCCCCTGGAATTGGAGTTATGGATGGTTGTTAGCCACTATATGGGTGCTAGGAACTGAACCTGAGTCCTGTGCAAGAGCAGCCAGTGCCCTTAACTGCTGAGCCATCTCTCCAGCCTTCCACCCTCTTTTTAAAAAAAATATTATTTTTATTTTATGTGGACGAGTGTATTACCTGCATGTATGTGAGTGCACCCATGTCGTGCAATGCCGCGGATGTCAGAAGAGGGCTTCATATTCCCCTGGAACTGGAGTTAAGGATGGTTCATAGCTGCCATGTGGGTGCTGGGAATTGAACCTGGGTCCTTTGCAAGAGCAGTCAGTGATCTTAACCACTGAGCCATCTCTCCAGCCCCTCCCCCTCCCTTTTTAAAAAATATTTTGAGATAAAGTCTCCAAGGTAGACTGGTCTTTAACTTGCGATCCTCCTGCTTCAGCCTCCCAAGTGCTGGTAGTACAGGATTGTGCCACCACTAAGCATAGATCTTGTATTTTTGTTCTTCTGAGTCAGGGCTCATGTAGCTGAGGATGTTCCTGATCCTTCTGCCTCCACTTCCCTTGCCAATTTTGGTGTTTCTTTTTAAGATGCTCTGACTAGCCTGAACTTTTATAGCTCAGGATGGCCTTGAACTCACTGCAATCCTTCTCTGCCTCTTGAGTGCTGCCATTGTAATCACCAGCCACCACCATGTCTGGCTTTACAATCTTTAGGTTTTTTTTTTTTCGGTCTTTTTGAAGCAGGGTCTCCCTGTAGCTCCAGCTGTCCTGGAACTCACTATGTAGACCAGGCTGGCCTTGAACTCACAGAGATCCTCCTGCCTCTGCTTCCCAAGTGCTGGGACTACAGGCGTGCGCCACCATGCCCGGCAATCTTTACTTTTTTTGAGACTTAATTATGTAGCCCTGGCAGGTCTGGAACTCCTATGTAGACAAGAATGAATGTTTTGGAGATCCTCTTCCCTCTGTGTCTGAGTGCTGGGGTTACAGGCATGCATCTCCATGCACATTCAACCTTAAGTTTGTTCTGGAACCTTTTTTTTTGTGGTCCTGGGGATTAAACTCAAGGAATTTGCTCAGCCATTGTATGATGATCTTTTAATTAAAAGTGATTATCTTTTAATTAAAGTGATTATCTTTTAATTATAAGTGATTATCTTTTAATTAAAAAACTATTTTGCGTATATTTGTATGTGCACACGTGCCACAGCATGTATATGGAGGTCAGAGGATAAATTGTAGGAGTCGGCACTCTCCTACCATGTAGATCCCAGGGATTAAACTCAGGTTGTCAGGCTTGGTGGCAAACGCCTTACTGCTGAGCCATCTCATTGGCTTTGATGCGAATTTTTTTTTTTTTTGGTCTTTTTTTGAAAGAGTCTCTGTAGCCCAGGCTGATCTGAAACTCACTGTGCCTAGACAGGCCTCAAACTCTTGGCACTCTTGCCTTATACTCCCTGGTGCTGGGATTGGCATGAGGCCACCATACCTAGTATATGATGTGGTTTTTAAGATTTTAATTTTTAGCTGAATTTGTATCTTGATAGCTAAAGCTGTATACATTAATTGACAGCTACAATGGGAAGATATGGATTCCTGATGCTATTTTCTTATTTATGTGGATGGGTATAGAGGAGGTGAGAATAATTTTTATAGACAATTGTAGGCCAAAATTTCAATCTTTATTTTTTTATTTGAAGCTCTGTGTGTGTGTGTGTGTGTGTGTGTGTGTGTGTGTGTGTGTGTGTGCATGCCACAGTTCTTGTGAGTCAGAGGACAATTTTGTGGAGGTAGTTCTACATTTATGTCAGTTCTGGGGCTCAAACTCAGGTCAAGCCTTGAATCTTCTGGCAGCAGGTACCTTTACATACTAAAGTATCTTGTCAACTCTAGATTTGTGGATACTTTTAAATGTTGCCTACCAATGCTTACTTGGAATTTGACAACTGGCATTTATTTAATACTTAGGTATGCTTACTCTGTGCTAGACTCTATTCTAAAGCCTTTCACAAATATTTGATATTTGTGGTTTTTGTCCATGGTTTTGAACTCTGCAGCACAGGTGGACTTAGTACTTTTTTATGGGAACTGGATTTAAATGGTTCCAGTTGCAAATACAAATAGTCACGTGGATTAGTTTCTACTTATGGAATACACATTGCAGGAGAGGAAATAATAAGCAGCTATATTTTCTGAATATATCTCCCATTTAATGTTCTGAATTTTAAAAGCCTTGGCATTTTGATTCCTTCAAAATGTCAAATTGGAAAACATAAACAAGATAATATGCTATTCTCAAGTACTTTCCATACCACTTTTTCCATCTAAACTGACTTCAAATTTATGGCAATCTTTCCGCCTTAGCCTCTTGAGTGCAGATTTTTTTTTTTGTTTTTTGAAACAGGGTCTTACTATGTAGTCCAGGCTTACCTGTGGGCTGGTAGTAATCGTCTTGCCTCAGCCTCCTGAGTAGTGGGATGTCCGGCAAGAGTGCACGACCAAATGAGTCACCATGCCTGCTGTATTGTTAGATTTTAGGCATTTCATTTTTATATGAACTCAGTGACAATCTAATTTTTTTGCATCCCTGTAATCAAAGTGTTTAAAATGACTGACAGCAGACTCACACTGGAACCCTGGGGAAGGAATGCACTTCTCAGCTGTGTGTGTGTTGAGGGGGATGGGAGTGGGGAGCAGGGTCGCCAGTTCAAAGCCAGACTGGACTACAAAGTAGGGAGACCTTGACCCTATAAAAAAAAAAAGACCAGAAAGTTCTACCGGGTGTGGTGGCTCACGCCTGTGGTCCCAGCACTTGGGAGGCAGAGGCAGGCAGATCTCTGTGAGTTCAAGGCCAGCCTGGTCTACATAGTTCCAGCACAGCTGGGGCTACAGGGAGACCCTGTCTCAAAACAAAACAAAAGACAGAAAATTAAAATGACTGACGAGTGGCCAAATCAATGTATGAGGCGACATCTTTGCCCCTCCCAAACGCACATAAAGATCACCAATTTATAACCATTTTTGCATTGATTTTTTTTGGAGTCAGGTCTCACTCTCTACCCCAGTCTGTCCAGGAACTCACTATGTAGCCCAGGCTGTTCTCCAACTCGGTATCTCCGACCTCATCCTCTGAAGTGTTGGGATTATGGGCTCAAGGCACCATGTCAGGCCCTAATGTTTTCATCGGAGAGAGGAGAATAAGCAATTGTTTCTTTAGTCTAGCAAGTGAACACAGCTTGCCAGACCCATGCTGTTTTATACCGGGCAAGAACGTAGTATGTAGGAGATAATATACAAGCGGTTCTTAGGCACGTCTTGGGCTGAGACACTCACGGTTCAAGTAGCTTTTTGTTCCCCATTTGAGTTTGCTTTTGGAGCCAGGGTTGGAAGGAAGGGGACTGCTGCGCCTTACCATCCGGCCGACGCTGCGTGTGGCCAGCAGGGGGCGGCCGACGGTCAGGGTCGCGCTCGTTTCCACATGACGTGGAGTAGTTTCTTCCGTTGGCCAGCTTCCGGCCTGGGCAGCTTCCGGATGTGGGGGACGGCGGAGGGCGGGGCGCGCCTGTGGGCCGCGGAGGCTGGAGCTGGGAAAACCGCGGAGGGAGGAGCCCGCGGCTCAGACTTCTCAGACTGTGTGAGTGTGAGCGCGGAGGCTGCGTGCGGGTTGTTCGCTGCCGCCCTGCGGAGCTCCGGACCCAGATCCCCGGCTCTGGAAACCAGGGTGAGTCCCGCGGTGGCTTCCAGTCTGCCGCTTTCTTCCGAGGGGCCCTTCTGTGTGTTTGTACTGGCCAGGGTGGTGAGAAGGTCATGTTCATCTGGGGCAGTCTCTAAACTCACTTCTTCACAGCGCACGTATTTAACCACACTTAGGTTTTACCCACCCAACCCGGACAGAGAAGGGAGATTGGGGCTTGACCCGTGTCATCGTGTTGTGCTGTCCTGGGGGAGAGTGTCCTGATCATCCGTGGCCTATAAATTAATTGTGGACACTTGAAGGTCTGAGCCGCGCGCTGGACGTCCTGTGGACTGGGATCTTTGCGTAGTGACATCTCTTTTTCTCCTTTAGAAACTCAGGTTACGAATACCACCATAATTGACGAAATATTTTTCCAAAGATAGGTATTTGGCTTCTTGTTTTGCTCTGGGCATATAAGCTAAATGAGAGGGTCTCCCCTTCATTTTATTTACCGTGTTCCATTTCCAGTGCCACCCCTGTCTCACTCGGAGGCTCTTCCAATGGCCCTTTCTCCCTCTTCCTCTTCCTCTCCAGTCCTGGTGCTGGGAGTTTATTCAGTGCCTCCCACATACTATTTTAGCACTTTTTTTTTGTAGATGTTGAGGTTATTTTAAAACAGGCAACACTCATCTTTTTTACAAGTCAATATATTTCCAGGATCTGAACTTTGTTTAAACCATATAGCCTCTTTATCCTAGTTAATATGGCTTTGTATGGAGACAGTGTTTTCAGAGCATTGAATTAGGTGATGCTGAGGTGTGGGAGGTGGGGGCCATGCAAGTTTAAAACAGTTCCTGGACTCAATTTGCAGTCAATTCAGTTGAATTCAGCAATGGACACTGGAGTCTTAACAGCCCCACTAATGAGTAAGTAGGTTGCTTATACCATCCTTTTTTAAAAAAAGGTTGTTTTGAACAGAGATTTTAGTTTTTACATTTCAAACTTTCTTGCATCTATGATAATGACATGAAAGGTTTTTTCTTTTGTACTTGAGTGTTTCACAATGAAGTAGGAAAGAAATTACACAATTACCTAGTCACTTACAATCTCAGTAACATATGTATTAGAAACAGGAAGTGTTAAAGAGACTGTATGGAAAGAAGCATTTGAGCTGGGCCTTGAAAAGGGTTTAATTTGGGAATGGAGGCAAGGGAGGACAGTCCTGGCACGAACACAGTGTGAGTGTGTGTGGGTAGCTGGTAAGGTGCAGGACAGTCAGTAGCACAAAGTACATTAACCTCTCTATTTCTATTGCAACTACACCTTCCGAGATCCCACAGGTTAAGAGGAAAAAAAAACTGGAGTACAGGGCTGAGCAGGTTGTTCAGTGGGTAATGCCCTGGGTTGTAACCCTAGCACCTTGAAAAACATTATGATACAAAAGTAGTTATGAAGGATAGTTATATCAAGTTAATTTGAACCCACAAAAGCCTGTATATAGAAAAAGTGGAAATGACAAACATGTTAATGTGTGAAGTTTAATGGTGATATAATCCCAAATCTAAAAGATACATGATATGAGCGAAAGAGAGAGAAAGAAAACAGGATTAAACCCCGAATCTAAAAGATCCATGCTCTGTGTGTGTGTGTGTGTGTGTGTGTGTGAGAGAGAGAGAGAGAAAGAGAGAGAGAGAGAGAGAAACAGCAGCTGCTGTGTCTCTCTCCTTGTTTCTTTGTTGAGTTTTAATTCTGATAGAGTATTGTGTCTAAATTGAATTTGCAATCATTTTGTTAAACTGCTGGAAATGAGTAACATTTTTAAAGCCAGAATCTGTTCCATTTTCCCCCCAAGGAATAGTCTCTCTTCTAGTCACAGTCTTAGATCTTGATTTGTCGTCTCTAGGCAGGGTTAAACACAGCTTCTTCCAAAGGATAGGTTAACATCTCTGTTTCTATTTCTTCTTTTTTCTTTTCTTTTTTCTTTCTTTTTTTTTTTTGGCCTTTTTTGAGACAGGGTCTCCCTGTAGTCCCAGCTGTCCTGGAACTCACTAGGTAGTCCAGGCTGGCCTCGATCTCACAGAGATCTGCCTTCCTTTGCCTCCGGAGTGCTGGGATCAAAGATGTGTGCCATCACACCCAGCACATCTCTGTTTCTTAATGCAGACTGCTTTCTTTGAAAAATGCATGCATGTGGCTGGAGAGATGGCTCAGTGGCTAAAGAGCACTGGCTACTCTTGCAGAGGACCCAGGTTTGTTTCCCCATACCCACATGGCAGCTAACAACCATCTGTAACTCCAGTTTCAGGGGATCCGATGCCCTCTTCTGACATTCTTGGGCATTGCATGACATGGGTGCAATTGCATATATGCAGGCCATACACTCATACACATAAAAATAGTAACAGGTAACATGTTGTAGCTTTTGCTCCTGTGAGGGCTCTAAAAGCAGTACATTAAAAAATATTTTTATTTATTATTTTTATTTTATTTTTGAAACAGGGTCTCCCTGTAGCCCCAGCTGGCCTGGAACTCAATATGTAGACCAGACTAGCCTCGAACTCAAGGAGATCTGCCTGCCTCTGCCCCTGAGTGCTAGGATAAAAGGCGTGTGCCACCATGCCCTGCTTATTTTTATTTTGTGTATGAGTGCATTGCTTGCATGTGTGTAAATGCATGCAATGTTGTACAATGCTCTTGGCGGTCAGAAGAAGGCGTCAGATCCCCTGGAACTGGAATTATAAATGGTTGTTAGCTGCCATGTGGGTGCTGGGAATTGAACCTGGGTCCTCTGCAAGTGTGGCCAGTGCTCTTTTGTTATAACTTTTGGTCTGTAATTAAGAATAGCCTCGGGGGCTGGAGAAATGGCTCAGCCATTAAGAGCACTGAGTGAATTGCCTGGCCAAACTAATCATCAAAAATTTTTGCTATTACAGAGAATGAAAGTATCTTCATTTTCCAACTGGGGAAGTAAATTGTGCAGAGATATTTGTCTGAACTGATTCACATACTAGTATAGATGAAAATAATATTTCAGAGTTTTCTCCACCACAATCCCTTTCCTCATCTTTGATAAAGGGTATTACAAGGTATTTTTGTCTTTTAAAAAAGATTTCATTTTTATTTATGCATATGTGTCTTTGTGCGTGCCGTGTGTGTGTGTGTGTGTGTGTGTGTGTGTGTGTATGTGTATGTGTATGTGTATGTGTGTTTGCCTATAGAGTCCAAAACATACCATTGGATCACCTGGAGCTGGAGTTAAGGTGATGTGAGCTTCCTGACACTGGTGCTGGGGTCCTCTGAAAGCAAGTTCTCTTAACTGCTGAGCCATCTCTCCAGCCCTTTATTGTTTTGTTTTGTTTTCTTTCGAGACAGCATCTCACTATGTTGCCATGGCTGGCTTGGAACTTGATTTGTACAGCAGGCTGGCCTGGAACTCACAGTGATCTACTTGCCTCTGTGTCCTTAGTGCTGAGATTAAAGACCTTCACCACCACGCCCAACCCCTTTTTTATCTTTTGAGATAGGGTTTTTGTATATAGCCTTAGTTGGCCTGGAACTTGCTATGTAGGTCAGGCTGGCTTTGAATTTGGCAATGATCCTCCTGCCTCTACCTCCTCAAATGCCGGAATTTCAGATATGTCACCATGCCTTGCTCTTTTGATAAATGACTATTCTGTCTTTATTGATATTTCATCAGAAAAATGTTAATATTTCAAATTTTACTTATTTTTGTATGAGTGTATATATGTATGTGGGTACAGGTGTGCAACACTATGCATATAGATCAGAGGATAACTTGAGGGAGTTGATTTTCTCCATCTATCATGTGGATGCCAGGGATTGAACTCATCTTGCCAGTTCAGTTCAGTTTTTTTTTTCTTTTTTGAGACAGTGTCTCAGTGCCCAGGCTGGCCTTGGACTCCTATTCCTTCTGCCTCCATCTTCTAAGTGATGGGATTATAGGTGTAATTACCATACATGACTCATGGTTTTGTTATTAAACAGGGATATTTTCCTAGGGCTTAAGTAAAAATAAGAATGGGACCAGGTGTGTTGGTGCATGCCTTTAATCCCAGCACTTGGGAGGCAGAGGTTGGCAGATCTCTGAGTTCGAGGACAGCCTGGTCTATGTAGCAAGTTCCAGGCCAACTGGGGCTACAGGGAGGCCCTGTCTCAAAAAAGACCGGAAAAAAAAAGAATGGGGTAGATAGTTGGGGGTGGCAGTACATGCCTGATTCCCAGCACTTGGGAGGCTGAGTCGGGAGCATCAAGTGTTTGAGGCCAGCCTGGGCTACATAGTGAGACCTGGTCTTGAGAGACGAAAAAAAAGACAAACCAGAGCAAAAAGCTTGCTTATTTAACTTGCTGAGATAATCTGATAAGAGAAGTGTCAACATGTGTTTAGAATGTGTCATGTTCTGCTTTCATAAATAATATTTTGTTCAGCATCATCAGCAATTTGATTTCCTCATTTTTTGAGCTTAAGTATGTGGTAGATTATATCCATTTTTTCTTTTTTATTATTTTTATTTTATGTGTATGCATGTATTGCCTGCATGTACCTGTGTCTTGCAATGCCTGTGAAGGACAGAAGAGGCTGTCAGATGTCCTGGAACTGGAGTTTTGGACAGTTGTTAGCTGCCGTGTGGGTGCTGGGATTTGACCCGGGTCTTCTGCAAGAACAGACCATGTTCTTAACTGCTGAACCATCTCTTCAGTCCCTGATTATATCCATTTTCACAAGTACTTCTTTCCTTGATGGAAATGAGGACAAAATATCCCAAATTTGAACCAATTATATGCATACTATACCATGTTTTCTGATTGTTCAGAATTGTGCAGTTATATCTAGAGGATTTGAAATTTTTATTTTTGAGACAGGGTATGACTCTGTAACCCTGACTGGCCTAGACCTCCCTATTTAGACCAGGCTGGCCTCGAACTCACAAAAATCCTCCTTCCCCTGCCTCCAGAGTGCTGGGATTAAAGGTGTACCATACCCAGCGATTTGAAAATTTTAAACTTTTTAAACTAAAAATACCTAG